GGGAGGGGGGAAACGGGGAGGAAAACGGGGAGAAAAAACGGGAAATGGGGAAAAATGGGGAAAAATGGGGAGAAAAACGGGGAAATTGGTGAAAACGGGCAGGGAGGGGGGAAACGGGGAGGAAATGGGGAAAAAATGGGGGGAAATGGGAAAAATGGGGAAAAATGGGGAGGGAAAGGGAAACAAATGGGGGGAAAATGCAAAAAAAATCGGGGAAAATGGGGGGAAAATGGGGAGAAAATGGAAAAAAATGGGGAAATGGGGGAAAATGGGAAAAATGGGGAAAATTGGGTGGAAAATGGGGAGAAAATGGGGGAAATGGATAAAAATGGGGGAAATTGGGTGGAAAATGGGGGAAAATAAAAAATGATGGGGGATTTTGGGTGTATTTTGGGCTGTATTTTGGGTGTTTTTCCGGTGTATTTTGGGTGTTTTTCGGGTGTTTTTGGGTGTATTTCGGCTGTATTTTGGGTGTATTTTGGGTGTATTTTGGCCACATTTTGGCCGTATTTTGGGTGTATTTTGGCTGTATTTTGGGTGTATTTTAGCTGTATTTTGGCTGTATTTCGGGATATTTTTGGGGTGTTTTTGGGGTGTATTTTGGGTGTATTTTGGCCGTATTTTGGCTGTATTTTTGGCTGTATTTTTGGGTGTATTTTTGGCTGAATTTTGGGTATTTTTGGGTGTATTTTGGCTGTATTTTCGGCTGTATTTTTGGCCGTATTTTGGCTGTATTTTTGGCTGTTTTTTGGGTATTTTTGGGTGGATTTTGGCTGTATTTTGGTTGGATTTTGGCCGTATTTTGGTTGTATTTTGGGATATTGTTGGGGTGTTTTTGGGGTGTTTTTCGGGTGTATTTTGGGGTGTATTTTGGCTGTATTTTTGGGTGGATTTCGGTGTATTTTGGCTGTATTTCGGGATATTTTTGGGGTGTTTTTGGGGTGTGTTTTGGGTGTATTTTGGCTGTATTTTGGGTGTATTTTGGCCATATTTTGGGTGTATTTTGGCCATATTTTGGGTGTATTTTGGCCGTATTTTGGTCGTATTTTGGCTGTATTTTGGCCGTATTTTGGGTGTATTTTGGCCATATTTTGGGTGTATTTTGGGATATTTTTGGGATGTTTTCAGGGTATTTTCGGGATATTTTCGGGGTGTTTTTGGGATGTTTTCGGGGCGTTTTCGGGGCGTTTTGTGCCTCACCTGCTGCCGCCGCCGCCGCTCCCGCAGCGCCCGCGCGATCTCGGCCGCCGCCGCCGCCGCCCGCCGCAGCTCCGGGGGGGGCGTGGCCACCGGAAAAGGGGGCGTGGCCACCGGAAAAGGGGGCGTGGCCACCCCAGAAAGGGGCGCGGCCAGCCCCGAATGCTGATTGGTCGCTCCGGCGTGGGGCGTGGCCAGCCCCGAATGCTGATTGGTCGCTCCGGCGTGGGGCGTGGCCAGCCCCGAATGCTGATTGGTCGCTCCGGCGCGGGGCGTGGCTTGTTCCGGAGGGGGCGTGGCCAGCTCGGAGGGGGCGGGGCGTCGCAGGAAGTAGACGTCATCGGCGCGAGGG